TGTGCAGCAATGTATGAACGCCGGGTGACAGAGGTGCAGCAAGACATGTAAGGAGTTCGCCTGGTCACAATCCAGCAGTCATATATCGACAATCTCAAGCGACGACAACCTGTTACATGTGTCTGTAATAAAAAAGGGACTTTGCGATGGTGTGGGGAGCTCTTTGAGTGGTGGGACTGTGGAAATCCAGTTTGTTTCGCCCGTAACAAACTTGTTACGGGCGAAACAACCTCCCTCTGAAACGTTTGGATACGCCTATACAACACATTTCCAATTGCTAACTTCTCGGGACAAGAAACCGTCCTTAAATTTCCGTTTGGAATGTCCAATTAATATCTACAAGCTTGTCCACCCAGAAAAAGACTGGCTTACCGGGTATGCTGATCTGCTCGCCGCCATCTTCTGAACTTATCTAGCGCCCAACAGGCACTGCCAGGAAACTCTAAATGTTTACATACAGGGTGTACGCATTTGTTTAGCAGGATTCAGCATAATTTTTAAGATGCCGTACACTTCCGGACCGGGGTCCGGAATTGTACGGCATTTCACCTCTTGCTGCCCAGAAGTCATGTGAACATTTGGACAATTTGCAGCACCAATAAGAAACGTCACTGGTTTAGCACTATGAGATTGCTGTGAAAATGACACCATCTGGTACCTTTATGCAGATACGCGACCTTTACTTACAGAAGAGACAAATAGGCCAACGCCTTAAACGTGAAGTGTTTAACTTTGCGTGTGAACTTGCACAGTGCCGCGCCGGAGAAACCTTCATAGTTATTGTCGATGGCATTGAGTGGGTTGCTACAGTTCCAAGGCGCAGCAAGCCAGACGATCTCGTATCAATGAGATTCTCGGCTGGCAATCAGGTGAATACTGTGCCAGGTTGTTGTTGAGAAGTGTTCGGCGCGCAAACAGATTGTGTCCGTCCTCACAGGTGGAGAGGACGCTAGTCGGAATGCTTGGTAGTGGCGCCAAGGAGGAGAGCCTTAAGAGGTACATCCGTGAAGGATTGGCGATGAAGACAAACGAGTACAAAGAGCGGATCAGGGGCATGAGCCATGATGCCGCTCTGGTGTTTGTCCGGGACCACATAAGACACACCACACCAGCCCAAGGACAGATTGGTCGCGAGGACAACATGATGTACCATTGGCCCATGCGGCCATGGACTCGGCTGTATGATGAGGTACGCTACCTGCCTTTGTTCCGCCCAGGTTGTCTCAGCTGAAGCCAGGGTGCCTGCACACATGCAGATCATCAAGAATGCAGCAGCTTTGCCGCCGATAGCTGCTGAGTGTGGGCTGCCAGGCAGCCAGCACGCCGCTGGCAGCCTCCCTGAGCACAGCAGCGGGTTGTGTACCATGCCAGGGGTCCCTGCACGCAGCACGGCTTTGTCTGAGCATGCCGCTTCAAGCTTTGCGCTTCACCTCCGTGCCGCCAGTGTCATCACGTCACAGGCAGCCAGCGCGGCTGACAGGACCATGACAACGGTGGGTTTCCAGCTCCAGGGCTGGGGCGGGGAGCGATATGCATGGGCACCTTTACAAACAGATTGTGTATGTCACAGGGGAATGAAGAAGCTTTGAAGGCTGGTGAGGAGGTGGTGACCTCCGGGGGAGCTGAGGTATGTACCACTGCCCTGTCGCCGGCCCGCGGCCTTCCATCCTTCCCGCACCCATAACACACACGCACGATCTTCTTGCCTGTCACCATCCACCCAGGGAGGTGATGCTGCCATGGTGGACCCGGTGAAGCACGGCGGCACTGGTGATGCTGGCGAGTATGGGGTGTCCGAGGATGGCACAGAGGTCTCTGGTGCTGGCCAGAGCAATGGGCTGGCCCCTTCAGAAGCAGGCGAACAGGTAGGATTATGGGTGAGATCAAGACCAAGCTCATGCATGGCAGGGGGGAGTATGGTCGCACCTTGAGTGTCGTGCGGTCTCCCTGACCCCCGTCCGTCCCCTGTCGCTGCTCCTGCAGTCAGAGGAGCTGGTTCATCTAGGCTTTGATGTGTGCAACGAGACCAGGAAGCGAAAGCGGGCCCCAAACATGACCCGGCTGGTGGCGGACGATGAGGAGCAGCAACGGGAGATAGACAGGGGACGCAATGATACAGATGATGCCGCTCCACGGTTTCCGTGCACGGTAAGACAGCAGGTGGGGGAGCCTGAGGGGCGGGGTCGGTCTACATAATTGAGGGTACACCGGTGTACCACAGAGCATGCAACGGGTGCACCAAATGACACTCCACAGGAGCAGCACGAGGGGGTGGAGTGTGTCGGCTGGGGATGGCACGAAGGGGGGCATCCTCAGATGCACTTGCTTGCTGTGTTCTCTGTGGTGTACTCCGGTATACCAAGGCTTCGGTGCAAGTCTGCTTCCCGCTGCCATGACTGCTCGTCGACCAACCTTGGCGAACCTGTCATGCCTCATGTGCATCACTCTGTGTGACGCGGCCTGCAGGAGGAGGACGCCCGTGGCGGTGAGGCGGCTGCTGTGCCATCCCCGTCGGCTGCAGGACGAGCTGCCATGCCCAGCCCACGGTTTCCGTGCACGGTAAGACAGCAGGTGGGGGAGCCTGAGGGGCGGGGTCGGTCTACATAATTGAGGGTACACCGGTGTACCACAGAGCATGCAACGGGTGCACCAAATGACACTCCACAGGAGCAGCACGAGGGGGTGGAGTGTGTCGGCTGGGGATGGCACGAAGGGGGGCATCCTCAGATGCACTTGCTTGCTGTGTTCTCTGTGGTGTACTCCGGTATACCAAGGCTTCGGTGCAAGTCTGCTTCCCGCTGCCATGACTGCTCGTCGACCAACCTTGGCGAACCTGTCATGCCTCATGTGCATCACTCTGTGTGACGCGGCCTGCAGGAGGAGGACGCCCGTGGCGGTGAGGCGGCTGCTGTGCCATCCCCGTCGGCTGCAGGACGAGCTGCCATGCCCAGCCCACGGTTTCCGTGCACGGTAAGACAGCAGGTGGGGGAGCCTGAGGGGCGGGGTCGGTCTACATAATTGAGGGTACACCGGTGTACCACAGAGCATGCAACGGGTGCACCAAATGACACTCCACAGGAGCAGCACGACAGGGTGGAGTGTGTCGGCTGGGGATGGCACGAAGGGGGGCATCCTCAGATGCACTTGCTTGCTGTGTTCTCTGTGGTGTACTCCGGTATACCAAGGCTTCGGTGCAAGTCTGCTTCCCGCTGCCATGACTGCTCGTCGACCAACCTTGGCGAACCTGTCAGGAGGGGGGCGCCTCTGCTACTGTGAGCTGCCACGGCCGGCGCCTGAGGACGCCCGTGGCGGTGAGGCGGCTGCTCGTGCAGCCCCGTCGAGAGGAGGAGACTGCTGCCCAATGATGAAGCACACCTTGAGCGAGAGATCCGCCGCATGGCTGGTGCGGTGGTGTCCTATCGGGAGTCTCGCCTTCGGCGAAGGCC